AATATAGCACAGAAAGGAAATGGAAAGTGCAGGGTCAAGGGGAACAGCTGCCAATTTTTTTTAAAAAGATGTAAAAGAAGGCCTAAGAAAAACATTTCAACAAGGTCTTAAAGACAATACTATATTAAACTAACACAGGTATTAGACCTAGTAGATCAGATACATTAGCAGCAATCTGGGAATGAATTTTTTTCATACTTGAAAATGGTAGGAGCAAGACAGAAAGTCTTGGCAAGGTACAGTGGCTCATCCCTGTAATCCCAGCACTTAGGGAGCAGAGGCAGGAGAATCACTTGAGCCCAGGAGGTCAAGAACAACCTGGGCAACATAGGGAGACCCATCTCTACAAAAATGAAAAAATTAGCCAGACATGGTGGTGCACACCAGCGATCACAGCTACTTGGAAGGCTGAGGTAGAAGGATACCTTGGGGGCCTGGGAGGTCAAGAACGCAGAGAGCCCTGATCATGCCACTTCACTTCAGCCTGGGTGACAGAGCAAGGCCTGCTTCAAAAAAAAAAAAGAAAGAAAGAAAGAAAAATGAAAGAAAAGAAAAAGAAAACCTTAGGATAGAAAGATTCAGATGATTTGAGAGAAATCAATTCTCAGAAAGGTGAAACAATAAATATGAGTTACTAAGTTTCAATTGGGAAAAAGAAAATGCCTGATAACAACACCCTGAAAATGCAGCAAGTCAGTTAGTCTATCTGTCCACCTGTTTATTTATATATGGTAATGCTTCATTGTTAACAACCACAAATAAACATTTAAAAGATTGTCACTTTTCTGCTGTCAGGCTTCAAACTTTAGATGCTTAAGCTTAACTTTCTAGTCTTTCCATTTCTAACATCAAAAAAACCCCATGAAATTGACAGAAATCAAAGACTGTGCAAGGACATTTTAATTTCTATTTTGTGTGCTGACCAAGAGTTGCTTAGAATTCCATTAGTAACAATTTAAATCTCTATTTTAAAGCAGCTTGGGAAAAAAAAAAAAAAGAAAGAAAGAAGATGACGACGATGCTTGGGGAATCTGCTGTTTATAAGCATCCAGAAATGAATTATTTTATAAAATCAGAGGGTATTTTTAAAAAATACATATTTACTGTAGAAAAATTAGAAAATAAAGACAGCAAAAAGAAAATTTATTTGAATAACAGGATTTTAATTTACTAAATATTCTAAAGAATATTCTCACAAGTTATCCAGATTTTGTTGCAGTCAATTTCTGAAAATACACTGCATATACTCCTTTGTGATGTGCTATTTTCACTATTATCAATTTATTTCAATGTAAAATGTTCTACATCATCATCATTTGTAATCTTACTGTGTGAATACCATAGGATTGTTAAGAAGATTAAATAAATGTAACGCCTGGCACAAGAAAACACTATTTAGACACTACTGTTATTATTAGTTTTAGGATTAAAATTCTTATAAACAGTCACGTATATCTAAGTTTGTGGGCATATTCCTAATTTTTTTTTTACATAAAGTCCTAGAAATAGAATTTCTGAAATGCTTCCAAACTGCCCTCCAGAAAGAATACATTAATTTATTTTATTTTGTTTTATTATTTATGTATTCATTTATTTTGAGATGGAGTTTCGCTCTTGCTGCCCAGGCTGGAGTGCAATGGTGCAATCTCAGTTCATCACAACCTCCACCTCCTGCATTCAAGCAATTCTCCCGCCTCAGGCTCCCAAGTAGCTGGGATTACAGGCATGTGTCACCACACGCAGCTAATTTTGTTTTTTTAGTAGAGATGGGATTTCTCCATGTTGGTCAGGCTGGTCTTGAACTCCCAACCTCAGGTGATCCACCTGCTCCGGCCTTTCAAAGTGCTGGGATTACAGGCGTAAGCCAACGCACCCAGCCATATGTGAATTTATTATCCTTCAGCAAAACACCTCCTGAAATTCCTGTCAGCAACTGTGTATTGTAGTTCTAATTTTTAACAATTTGGGGAACACGGAATATAATTTTATCTCATTTTATTTTTGTTTCTTTAATTATACTAAACATTCTTTCACATATTGACTGTTTGCATTCCTCTTCATCTGAATTCTTGACAAAATTATTTTAAAGTGAGCTACTCTAATATTCATAGTCAAAATAATCACATATAAGATTTGTTTAAAGCATATTAATGTACCACCATTCAATACATGTTTGCTTCACAAAAACACAGCGAGTTATACACTCTCATTCCATCTACCGTACCTCTCAACTTAGTATCTCCCACTAATATTTAAAGAGAAAACATTAATGCCAAAGTCTAAGGTGAAAAAAAGGAGTTCAAATTAAAAGTCTTAAAACTACTTAATTATGCAATCTATAGTATCACCATTAATACATTCATTTAAAAGAACAGATACTTAACTATTGACATGAAAACCTATCTATGATATACTGGCAAGTGAAAAAAAAGAACTCGGAACAGTTTGAGTGGTGTGATCCAGTTATGATTTATACATCAAAACATAAAACAAATACAGAGAATAGGAAGAATGAGGAGGTAGTCGCTGTCCTAGGTGCTAGGGACCCAGTGATGAACAAGATGGGAAGGTTTTTCCCTGCTTTTATGGAACTTAAATTCAACTCTATTGGTTAACAGGCATCCCAAAGTTACCTGGATTTATTTTTAGTATTAAATCCTAATCAACTACAACAATAAAATTTTTCTCAATTTCTTTCCAAACATAAGTTAGAGCCTATAGAGAAAGTAAAGAGGAATATACACACTACTTTCTGGACTTCAGAGCAGATTACAATGCGGTAAGATTAGGAAGCACACATACATACACGCATACATGCACAAAATATGTATGTAGTATTAATGACACAGAAAAAATGTTCAAAATCATTTTTTAAAATCTTATAGTCAGAAACCTTTTCTCATTAGCCAAACTTAAAAGCTCAACTGATAATGCTATGTTTAAAAAACTAAGTTGCAGAAAATTCATGATATAATCCCAATTTTGTTTAAAAAGCATGCATATTGACATGTACAGGTAAAAAATAAAATGCATTCATAGTATACAAATGCTGTACATGCCTTTAATAAAAAGTCTTGAACTAACTTACTAGTAGTAACTTCCAGAGATAGGAATAGAGGAGAAGTGGGTAGATGGGAATCAGAGAAAGCTTTAAACATTTTATCATGTACACTTCTATACTATTTTGAGTATCTGTGGTAAAACATCTTTATGATAAAAATGAAAATAAAATATTTTAAAGTTTAAACTCCACAGGAAGAACCAAGTATCCAGTCCCATCAAAATTTCCCTATGTAATACCCTAATGTCCATTAATATGGAACTGTTTGAATAAAAAAAATTAGAGTGCTAAGCAGATATAAAAAGCAGCACAGAAGAGCTTCATATACTGCTATGAGTCATAGCCAGGATTTTTGTTAAATAAAAAAATGCAAGATACAAAACAGTAAGTCTAAGTTTTATCTCAGAAAGGGAAGGAAATGTGAATAAGTATACAAGCTAACTGTAGTTTTGGTTTAAAAAATATAAATATTTTTCACAATTATAAAACAAAATGAAATCAAAAAAATCTAAGTTACTCCTAAAAACCGACTACAGAATGAAAAAATGAACCCAACTATGTATCAAATGAGTGGCTTAACCACACAAAATAAAATCTTTTCAAATAATTTTTAAAAAGCAATTTAGGCCAGAAGTAGTGGCTCACGCTTGTAATCGAAGCACTTGTGGGAGGCCGAGGTGGGCAGATAACTTGAGCCCAGGAGTTCAAGACCAGACTGGCCAACATGGAGAAACCTCGCCTCTACCAAAAATATAAAAATTAGCTGGGAGTGGTGGTACACGTCTGTAATCACAGCTACTTGGGAGGCTGAGGCATGAGAATCACTTGAACCCGGGAGAGAGAGGTTGCAGTGATCCAATACTGTGCCACTGCATGCCAGCCTGGGCAACAGAGTGAGACTCTGTCTCAAAACAACTAATTAATTAATTAATAAGCAATTTAACTGTACCTCCCTACTATTTATATTAATTACAGAGAATTATTAACAACCATTTCCTATGACAACTTTAAACAATACTAATATATGTATAAATATAAACAATAAAGCAAATAATTCATTATTCTCAAAATTTCCAGCATAAGAATATAAAGCTAAAAAAGAGAGAAAATCTTATAACCCTAAATCCTTAATCTTGAAACAAAATCAGATTTGGAAGTATTGATATGAATCACAGTATGTTTTCTCATTAAATAAAAGTGCCAAAATTTAGCAAAGTTGCAGAATATGAGATCAACACACAAAAATCAGAATTTTTATATACTAACAATAAACAATCTGAAAAGAATACTAATAAGCAATTCAATTTATAGTAGTATCCAAAAAGAAAAATTAAAAAAAAAAAAAAAACTAGAAATAAATTTAACTGAAGATGTACAAGATTTGAAAACTACAAAACACTGCTAAGCCAGAAAATTAAAGGAAAACCTAAATAAATGAAATGAAATCCTATATTCATGGATAGGAAGATGTAATAGTATCAAGATGTCAATACCCAAATTAATCTATAGAGTCAACTCAATCCCTACTAAAATCCCAAAGGCCTTTTCTGTAGAAATGAAAAAAGTGATCCTAAACTATATATGGAATTGCAAGGGACCATAAATACTTAAAGCAACTCTGAGAAAGAATAAAGTTGGAGGACTTTCTGATTTCAAATCTTACAACAAAGCTACAGTAATCAAGACAGTGTGGTACTGGCATAAAGACAGACATATAGATAAATGGAATAAGAACCATGCATCCAAAAATAAACCCATGTATCTATGGTCAACCGATGAGTAATAAGAGTGCCAACAACACACAATGAGGAAAAAAAAAATAAGCTCTTCAACAAATGGAGTTTGTACAACTAGACCCTTACCTTAGTCCATATACAAAAATTAACTCAAAATGAATCAGAGACCTAAATATATGAAATAAGACTACAAACCCCTTAGAAGAAAACATATAAGTAAATCGTGACCTTAGATTTAGGAATGTACTTTTTAAATAGGATGCCAAAAGCATAAGCAAGAAGAAAAAAAAATAGGAACATTCAACTTCATCTAAATTTAAAACTTTTGTGCAACAAAGGCCACTAAAAAGAAAATGAAAAGAAAATCCGCAGAATGGAGAATTTTGAAGTTATATATCTGACAATGGTGAAGTATCAAGAATATATGAAGAACACTTAAAACTCAACAAGACAAACGATCCAATTTTTAAAAGGCAAAGAACTTACATAAACATTTCTCCAAAGAAGATAGGCACCTAAAAAGACGCTCTACATCAACAGTCATTAAGAAAACGCAAATCAAAGCCACCGTGAAAGATCTATTCATACCTGCTAGGATAGCAATAATCAAAAAAAAAAACAGAAATAAGCGTTGAAGAGGATGGGGAGAAATGGGAACCCTACTACACTGCTGGAGGGAATGTGAAATGGTGCAGCCATTATGGAAAACAGTTTGGCAGTTCCTCAGTAAATTAAAACACAAAAATACCATATGACCCTGCAATTTCATTATTAGGTACAGACCTATAAGAAATGACAGGTGTTCAAACAAAAACCTATACACAAATGTTCACAACAACACTATTCACAATAGCCAAAAGCCATAACAATCCAAACATCCATCAACTGAATAAACAAAATTTAGTATATGCATACAATGGAATATCATTCAGTCATAAACAGGAATGAAGTTTTGATACATGCTAAAACAGGGATAAACCTAGAAAACATTATTCTAAGTGGAAAAAAGCCAAACACAAAAGGCCACATAAAGAATGATTCCATTTACATCAAGTGTCCAGAACAAGCAAATACACAGAGTTGGAAAGCAAATTAATGCCAGGTCTGGGGCAAGGGTGAAATGGGGACTGACTACTTAATGAATATATGGTTTCCCTGTGGGATGGGGAAAAGCTATGGAACTAGATGGTGATGGCTGTACAACATGGTGAATGTACTTAATGCTAATGATGGTATACTTTAAAATCATTCAAATAGTCAATTTAATGTTATATATATTTTAACATAATTATTTTAAATATCACACAGACACAACCACACCCTAGCTCTGTCCATTAAAAGATCCTAAAAACAACCACCAACCCAGAGCAACAAACACTCAACTGTGGTCTCTAAATACTATTTCCCACTAAAAGGAATCAGAACCTCTTAGAGAAATGACTGGTTCCAGATACCTAAGGCAGATGATGTACAAGATGAGCCTGGAACATCTTGTCATACCAGAAAACAGGATTACCAAAGACTGCTAAGGTTATATGGAAGGATAAAAGAGCCAACATGACGGGGTTCACACTGGCAAAAAAATGGAACAATCTGACAACAGAAGAGAATAGATTAAAACAAAGAATATATTCAAAACTGGGGGTTCATATAAATACATACTTAAAAAAAAAAGTAAATAACTCGCTGACTTTTCTGTCAAATGCTAAAGAAGACTTACCCTGCTTTTTCTCAGGATAATAAAACTGAGGTAAAATTCTTCTTTACAGAAAAATTCCAGCTACAAAATAAAAAATGAATGATAGAATATCACCACTGGCCATGTCCAATGAAACAATGATCTAGACTGGGGTCAGCACACTTTCCATAAAGGGCCAGATAGTAAATATTTTAGGTTTTGCAGAACACAGTCTGTCTTAACTCTGCCATTGTATCTGAAAAGCAGCTATAGATAATACATAAAGGAACAAGTGTGGCTACATCCCAATAAAACTTTATTTACAAAATAAGCAGTGGATCATATTTGGCCTATAAGCTGTAGTTTGCAGAAACCTTGAACTAGACCAGCAGTGTCCAATCTTTTGGCTTCCTTGGGTGACACTGGAAGAAGTATTGTCTTGGGCCACACAAATATACTAACAACAGCTGATGAGCCAAAAAAAAAAAAAAAAAATTTGTAAAAAATCTCATGTTTTAAGAAAGTTTACGAATTTGCGTTGGGCTACATTCAAAGCTGTTCTGGGACACATGAAGGAAACTGGACAAGCTTTTCTAGACAATGATCATCTATGTCTGTTAAAGAGATTGGGTGAAAGGCTGATGGGGAACTGTATAATACATCAACAATCACCTCAAAAGAACAGATGTGGTAATCAACTGTAACATTACAAAGAGAGAGGTAACTAGATATCACATGTCACCTGATGTTATGCAATAAGAAATACAGATGCTCCTTCACCTACAATGGAGTATATCCACTAAATCCATTGTTAACTGGAAGTATTGTAAGTTGAAAATGCACTTAATACACCTAACCTACCAAACATCATTTAGCCTATAGCTGGGCAAAATCACCTAACACAAAGCCCTAACATAAAACTTTGTAACAAAGCTATTTAAAGAATTTTGCATCAAAATTCAAAGTACAGCTTCTATTGAAGGCATATCACTTTTGCAGTATCATAAAGTCAAAAAATCATTAAGTTGAACCGTCATGAATTGGGGATCATCTGTATTCAGTACCATGCAATAAAGTATTCTGACGAAAAAGTATGGCCAACGGTTTGCAGAAAATACAAGAAATAAAGAAGCTTATTAAATAACCACAGGGATGCACTCAGCGGAATCCTGAATGTGGGAAATTCCAAAAAACAAATTATCTGATTTCCTCAATAGATAAATGACAAGGAAAAGAGTTAAAGAAACAATACCACCAATTGAAAGGAGAGTTAAAAATAGCAACCAAATGCTATGGACCTTGTTTAGCCAGCATGTTGGTGCACACCTGTAATCCCAGCTACTCAGGAGGCTAAGGCAAAGAATCGCTTGAATCCGGGAGGCGGAGGATGCAGTGAGCTGAGATTGTGCCACTGCACTCCAGCCTGGGTGACAGAGGGAGACCCTGTCTCAAAAAATAATAATAATAAATTGGAGGTTAATACTAAGGATATAGATGAAATAGGATTGACCATGTAATTACAGAAATTGGATATGGATATATGGTGGTTTATTAAGCTATTCTATCTAGTTTTATATAATCGAAAACTTAATAATTTAAAACTAACGTAAAAATAAAAAAACCCAAAATGGAAAAAAGTATTCACCATCTGTTTGGGAGTACCAGGTTCCCTAAAAAAGTTTAATAAAAATTATCCCCTTCTATTGAAATCCAAATTCAGAACCCACAGAGACCTAAGGGTAACAGGAAAGGAAGGAAAGGGAAAGGAAGACAAGAGGCAGAAAAGAAAAAGGAAGAAAACTGTCACTCATTCTTCCCTTCCCTTACCCTGGTTAATGACAAAGTAGTGAGGGGCTGCCAGCTGCTCCTCTAATAATGTCCTGGCAAGGACAAAGAGTATTTTTATTTTATGAGAAAAGGTTTCCCATGAAAATCACTCTACCTCAATCTGTAGATACTATCTGACGTTCTTGGAGATCCCAATGATATTGGCTATTTCAAAGCAGGAAATAAAAAGGAGGGAAGAGAAAATTTTTCAGAGTGGGGGAAAAGTTTTTCTCCCCAACTTCCTCAAAATTAAGAAGAATGAAAACTGAACAAAAAAAAATAAAACATACAGTATTCACTTAACTCAATTCACAGTTAATAGCCTTAATGGTTCTGAATGGTCTCAAACAGTTATTCAAATTTTTGAAGAGTACCTCAGACCGTTTAAGTTAACTCTACTGAACACAGCTGTGAACAACACAGTTGGGGGTGTGGGGTACAATCTTCATATCTCACCGTAATGTGGTTTGTCCATCATAATATTTAAACATTTTATTAAATACTCAATACCTAATGGTCAATACAATCCAGGCTGATACTGCATACAGACTAGACTGAAAACAGTTTTTAGAAAAAAAAACGTGCTGTCTAAAAATACTGACTATACAAACATCACATCTATTTAAAATACACATCTCACATTAAACACAAAACGTTAAAGGCACCTACTAGGCCAGCATTTGGTGATTATAAATACTCATTTAAAAACTGTCAAATCCCTAGAGACAACTGCAACTCTCTTAATATCATATAAAATATATTTAAAATTGAATTTCTATTACTTTAAAAATGCATCGTGATGATTTTTCCTTAAATAAATATAGGTGGAAAAAGATTTAGAGACTTTCCTTATAATCATCCTATATATATCAGTTTAAAAAAAAAATACAAGAAGATATAGAAAGGTAACAAGTCAATCTAAGCCTTATTACTAATTACTGCTAATAATAGCAGCTAAGATTACTATGTGCCAGACACTGTGCTAAGCATCTTACATGCATAATTACCTGCTTCACAATCACTCAGAAAGGTAGTTACTATCACCACTTCCAGATAAGAAAAATGAAGTATAAAAAGTTAGTAACTTACCTAAGCTCTACTATACCTAATCAGAGATGAGGATAGAGTGGTCCTACAATGTCACACACACACGAAAGCTATAGAATGCCTAAAGATGATAACATATCTCACTCAAAAAGCACTTTAATTTACAGTGGTGTCTGAAATCTTTCAATGTAGAAACACACAGGGTTCATCTATTAATATACAGAGCAAATGATGTGGAGCCAGTATCGAATAGTCAATTTATTATCCTTTTCTTCTTCCCTAAGTAGAGCAGCTTAGTCTTTTCGTTGTATATATTGCCAAATTGTTGTTCCTATGGAGTAAAATCCAACAGACAGTAGTTCATTATAATCACACAGTGCCATAGCCGTTCAAAAGGGCAAAAACTTAGGAATCGGAGAGATTAGGGATCCATTTTGAGTTCTGCCCCATTATTAGTTTTGTGTCCTTTATCCACCAGCAGGGACTCAGGCTTCTGATCGGTAAAATGGAGATATCACTTACACCCAGTGGAGAAAATACTCATTAAATGTTAGCTTCCTCCCCTTCTCAAATAAAAGCAAGGTTCAGATATACTTAACGCAGACCTTCGAAAGTCTGATCCAAAGAATATCAGTCCTTTGAGGGATGATAAGCAGCATTTCCTAAACTTTGAACACAGACTACTTATTACAGCACAACGTCACTTAGACTAACTACTGTGGGAGACACTGACCAAAGGACTTTCACATAGATTATATAAAAAAACAACTTTACTTCAGATTCTGTGATCACTCTTTCGGTTCCTCAGTGCTCATTTTTATCTACTATCTAGTTCCCATCTTAATTCCATATAGCTGAGCTGGCAAATAAGCACCTCTGGTTATATGAGTATTCTACATATTAAATGCTATACATCAGGGATCCCTAACCCTGGGGCCACAGACCACTAGTGGTCTGTGGCTTGTTAGGTGCCAGACTGCACAGCAGGAGGTAAGCTGCAAGCGAGGGAGGAAGTCTTCACCTGTATTTACAGTAGCTCCCCATTGCTGGTATTACCACCTGAGTTCCACCACCTGTCAGATTAGCAGCAGCATTAGATTTTCATAGGAGTGCGAACCCTACTGCCAACTGCACATGCAAGGGATCTAGGTTATGCACTCCTTATGAGAATCTAGTGCCCGGTAATCTGTCACTGTCTCCCCAGCACCCCTAGACGGGACTGTCTCGTTGCAGGAAAACAAGCTCAGGGCTCCTACTGATTCTATACTATGGCAAATTGTATAATTATTTCATTATAAAGTACACAATAAATGTAATGCACTTGAATCATGCCAAAACCATCCACCCTGGTCCGTGGAAAAATTCTCTTCCATGAAACCAGTCCTGGTGGCAAAAAGGTTTGATACCACTGTTATTACATTAAAACTCAGATATACTCTTTTAAATGGGGTCTAAAAAATCCAACTATTAATACATGAAAAACAGGACTTATTGCAAAGTTAAAAGAACACTATTTTTCGATTAGTGTTCCAGTTACAGAATAGAAGGGAGAGGGAGGGAAAAGTTCACATATCAGTTTTACGTATTAGATATTAAGTCAATGATTACAAATGAAATGTCAGCCTGGCCCCCATCTGCAGACAACAGGCATGGCAAAGGATGAGAGGCAATTACACTACATCTGAGTTTTGTATCATCACAGGATTTCATTGTAATCTGACAAAACACTCATCAACTAAGAAAAGTTCAATTCAGAAGCACAGAAAATTTTCTCCAACTAATGAAAATGATAAATCAACCTTTTATAATATTTATCTTCAGACAGGCATGGTAGTTACACCTGTAATCTCAACACTTTGGGAGACTAAGGCAGGAGGATCACTTGAGGTCAGGAGTCCAAGACCACTTTGGCCAACATGGCAAATATCATGGTAGTTCACCATGGTAGAGAACACTCCATCTTTACCAAAAAAATACAAAAATTGGCCGAGCATTGTGGTGCATGCCTGTAATCCCGGCTACCTGAGGGGCTGAGGCAGGAGAATCACTTGAACCTGAGAGATGGAGGTTGCTGTGAGCCAAGATCACGACACTGCACTTCAGCCTGGGCGACAGAGCAAGATTCAGTCTCAAAAAAAAAAAATTAACTATCTTCTAACACTATAAAAATACTTCTTAAAAAGAAAAGCATGACTATCAATTGATGCATTACAATTTGGTCTTAAAATATTTAAGATTCAAAATTTTCAATTTCTGGCTTATTTTTTAACATTCATCATTTATTAAATGATAACTAAGTACAAAAAATTTTCCAGTGCAAGAATAACACAAAACAAGAACAAAAATTATTGAGACCAATAGCCACAGGAAATAAGAACAGAAGCAGATGAAGTGTAACACTTCTGTTTTTACCTTGAATCAAGCTATGATATGTTAACTGAGCTCAAAACCGGTACCTTCAAGTTACCAGAGGTAGCAAGGCTCCATTTCTGTACATTCACATACTCTTAAGGCAGTAAAGTAATTAAGAATAAGAGCTCTAAATTACCTGGGTTGGAATCCAGGCTCTGCCACCTGCTGGCTATGAAACCTTGGTAAGAGTTACTTAACTTCTTTAAGCTTCAGTTTCATCTGTTAAAGATAAGGTACTCCTGGCTGAACTCTGTGGCTCACACCTTTAATCCCTGCACTCTGAGAGTACAGGGCAGATGAACTGCTTGAGCCAAGCCTAGACAACATAGAGAGACCCCCACGTCTAAAAAAAATAAAAATTTAAAAAGCCTGGCATGGTGGTGCAGGCCTGTAGTCCTAGCCATCTGAAAAGCTGACGCAAGTGTATCACCTGAGCCAAGGAGGTAGGCTGCAGTGAGCCACAACCGCACCACTGTACTTCAGCTCAGGCAATAGGGCAAGGCTCCATCTCAAAAAAAAAAAAGAAAAGGATAGGAGCTCAGGCTCAAAACTGATTCTGCAACATGGATTTCAACTACATTTTTTACCCATCTCTTATAGCCACTGTTTTATAGCTAGCCTGATCAGTTTTAAAAGCAAGCTATTTGTTCTTAAATTTTTCATTTTAAAAGAAAATAAACTTTACTTCTATATGACTGACAATTACTTTCTCCTTGGTAAGTAACACTACAAAAAGTAAAAGTTCCTAAACCTTACCCTAAGAAACCTTAATTCTTCCAATTTCAAGCAATTATCTTATTCCCTTTCCAAATTATAAAGGCCATATAGTGGACCAATTAAGAGAACAGGTTCAAAGTATGACTAGGCATCTTGCTGGCCATGTTAAGCTCTGTAAGCCTCAGTTTCCTCATTTATAAATTCCATTTGCCTCAGAAGACTGTGATGAAGATTAAATAAGATACAAACAAGTCGCTTAAAATAGAGAATAGAAAAACCGTGGAGAAAAACAAAAGAAAGAGTTGGGGGGTTTTTGAAAAACTAAAATCAACAAACCCTTAGACTTACAGAAAAAGAAAGGAGTCTCAAATATACAAAATGAGAAATGAAAGTGGAGACATTACAACAGATGCTTCAGAAATAAAAAGAGGCAGCCAGGTGCAGTAACTTGCAACTGTAATCCCAGCACTTTGGGAGGCCAAGGTAGATAGATCACTTGAGCCCAGGAGTTCAGACCAGCTTGGGCAACATGGCAAAACCGGTTTCTACAACAAATACAAAAAGTCAGCTGGGTGTGGTAGTGCCTATCTGTAGTCCCACTCAAGAGGCTGAGGTAGGGGGATCACTCGAGCCCAGGAATTGAGACAGCAGTGAGCCTGTATCACGCCACTGCAATGCAGCTTGGGCAACAGAGGCCCTGTCTCAAAAAAAAAAAAAAAAAAAAAAAGTAAAAAAAAAAGAAAGAAAAGAAATAAGAAGGGTCATGAGAAACTATTATGAACAATTATAAGCCAACAAATTTTATAACTCAGAGGAAATGAATAAATTCCTAGAAAAATACAAGGTTGCCAAAGTTGAATCAGGAACAAACAAAAGATTGAACCGGTATTAATTAAAAATCTCCCAACAAAGAAAAGGTCAGGACCAGACAGCTTCACAGCTTAATTCTACCAAACTTTTCAAGAATATCAATACTACTTAAACTCTTCCACATAGTAAAGTTGTAACACATTTGATAAGGCCAGCATTACTTTGATACCTAGCCAGACAAAGACATTACAAGAAAATAAAGCTACAGGCCAATATTTCTGATGAACACTGATGATACAAAAATCCTCAATAAAATACTAGCAAGTCAAATTCAACAACGTATCAAAAAATTACACATCATGATCAAGTGGGATTTAATACGGGCATGCAAAGATGGTTTAACATACACAAATGAATCAATGTCATATATTAAGAGACTGAAAGACAGAAATGACACAATCATATCAACTGACAGAAAAATCATTTAACAAAATTAAACTTTCTTGATAAAAACTCTTTTAACAGTTTAAATATAGAAGGCAAGTTCTTCAACATAATAAGGCCATCTATGAAAAACCCACAGCTAACAACGTAATCAATGGGAAGAAATTGAGAACTTTTCTTCTAAGACCTGATACAAGGCAAGGATGCCCACTCTGACCACTTCTATTCAACACAGTACTAGAAGTATTGGAAGAACTTGTCTAAATCAAGAGCATTTAGACAAGAAAAAGGAAAAAAAATAAAAGTTATCCAAATCAGAAAATTATCTCTATTTGCAGATGGCATGGTCCCCTATATAGAAAACTCCAAAGACGACACAAAAAACTCTGAGCTCTAATAAATTAATTCAGTAAAGTTGTATTATATAAAATCAACATACAAAAATCCATGGTATTTCCATACACAAATAATGACCAAGTTGAAAAATAAATTAAGAAAACCGCCCCATTTATGTTAATATCAACAAACAAAATACTTAGAAATACATTTAACCAAAAAGTTGAAAGACATATACACTGACAACTACAAATACTGATGAAAGAAAATGAAGACACAAATAAACGGAAAGAATTCCATGCTCACGGATCAAAAGAATTAATATAGTTAACATTATCACACTACCCAAAGCAACATATGGATTCGATGCAATTCCTATTAAAATCCCAATGGCATTCTTCACAAGAGTAGAAAAAGCAATCCTAAAATTCACATGGAATCACAAGACTCTGAACAGCCAAGGTAATTCTGAGGAAAAAAAAAAAAAAAAAAGTTGGAGGCTTCACGCTTTCCTGAAAATTAAGTCACAAAGCAATTTTAAATCAACATAGTTTAGTACTGGCATAAAAACAGACACACAGACCAGTTTAACAGAACAGAGAGCCCATAAACAAATCCAAACATACACAGTCAACTAATTTTCAACAAAGGCACCAAGACAACACAGTTCTTCAACAAATGCTGCCGGGAAAAATGGACTTCCACATGCAAAATAACGAAACTGAATACTCATCTTAAGACACAAAAACCAACTCAAAATGGATAAAAGCCTAAACATAAGACTTGAAGCCACAAAATTCCTAAAAGAAAACATAGGGAGAAATCTCCTTGACATGGGCCTTGGCAATTACTTCTTCAAAGACATCAAAACACAGGAAACAAATGCAAAAACAGATGAGACTACATCAAACTAAAAAGCTTCTGCACAGCAAAGGAAACAACAAAATAAAAAGACAACCTATGAATTGGGAAAAAGATTACTGGCAAACCATATATGGGATAAGGTGTTAATATTCAAGATTTACAAAGAAATCATACAACTCAACAACAAGAAAACATATAACTCAACTTAAAAATGGGCAGAAGATGTGAACAGACATTTCCCCAAAGGTGAAATAGAAAACAGCCAACAAGTATACGAAAGGTGTTCAACATCACTTACCACTGGAAATCAAAACAACAATAAGATACCACCTCACACCTGTTAGGATAGCTATTATCAAAAAAAATAAGAGATAAATGCTGGCGAAAGTATAGAGAAAAATGAACCCCTGTACACTGTTGGTAAGAATGCAAATTAGTGCAGCCATTATAAAAACAGTATGGTGGTTTCTACAGAAACTAAAAATAGAACTATCTATCATATGACCCAGTAATTACTCTTCTGGGTATATACCCAAAATATTATGAAATCATCACTTTGTAAAGATATCTGCATTACCGTGTTCACTACAGCATTATTCACCACAGCCAAGATATGGAAACAACCTAGGTGTCCATCAATGGACAAATGGTTAAACTTCCATATGTGTGTGTATATATGTGTGTATATATATACATGTATGTGTATGTGTGTGTACACACACATATGGATGGACCTGGGAGAAATTAACTGAAATAAGCTATACACAGAAAGAAAAATATTTCATGATCTCAATTATATGTAAAAGCTATCTTTAAAAAAAGGTCAAATATATAGAGATAGAGAATAAACTGGTTAGCAGAGTCTGGGCAGGGGAGAAAAAGGGGAGATGTAGGTCAAAGCATAGTAAGTAGCAAACACCTGGAATGAACATGTCATTAGATCTAATGTACAACATGAAGACTATAGTTAATAATAGCGTATTATATCCAGGCTTTTGTTGAGTAGATTACAGTTGCTTTTGGCAGGGGAGGGGGAGTAACTATGTGAGATGGAGATGTTAATTTGTTTTACTACAGTAACCATTTTATTATAATATGTATCTTATAACATCATGTTGTGTATCTTAAATATACATACTATCATTTTAAATGAATTGCTTACTACAGTACAGTAACATAGTAAGTACTAAAATTTCCTTCCTTTACTTGAAGTCTGGAGGGACTAGGATCAACATCCAGAACCTATTCCCTTCTAACTATGGCCCTGGAATAAATCAATTTAAAAAACATATATATATTAACCTCAGATTCTTCACTTATTAAATGGAGCAAATATTGTCACAAAGCATTATGAAAGTTAAATGGAATAATAGTGCTTGGCACACAGTAAATATTCAAAGGGTAGCTGGATCTGAATTCTAAAATTCAGGCTGTCACCAATAGCATCCAGAGAAACTCAAAATCTGCCATGACCACAAACTTTTTTCTAATTAACTTCTTCCCCCACCCCAACTCCTATGGACCACAGCAGCATTCCTCCTCTTTCCTAGACTTTAGAAAGTACATAGGCTTTCTCAGCTATATGTATGAAATTAACAACAAAAAAAAGATGTGTTTTCTCATTAGATAAAATGTGAAAATGCATTTTAAAACAATTACCTACTCCTAAATTAATACTGAAAGCCAACAAGCTGTACAATTTATATTGATGCCATAACCCATACAGTGCAGCAGACAATCTCCTGTCTCTGAGGATCCTTCTTTTCTAAGAACTCTGGAATTGGCCCACCTGCTCCCATTTTAGAAGTCATGATAAATACAACCTTTGTTTCTAACTAAGTTCTCCTTCTCCAATGTAGAGCAGAAATATCATACTGGAATGTCTCATCTATCTTTTTTTTTTTTTTTCCTCCTGAGATAGACTCTTGCTCTGCTGCCCTGGCTGGAGTGCAGTGGTTCAATCTCAGCTCACTGCAACCTCCGCCTCCCAGGCAGGTTCAAGCGATTCTCCTGCCTCAGCCTCCCATGTAGCTGCGATTACAGGTGTGTACCACCACAGCCAGCTAATTTTTGTGTTTTTAGTAGGGACGAGGTTTCACCGTGTTGTCCAAGCTGGTCTGGAACTCCTAACCTCAGAGATCCACCCACCTCAGCCACCTTCTGGGAGGGATTACAGGTGTGAGGCACCATGCCCAGGCTCTCTATCCTTTCAAATGGTATAGCCCTTCTTTAATTTTCTACACTCTGATAGGAAATTATGTGTGCATGCGCATGCATGCACGCACGCGCGCACACACACACACACAGCCCTTTTTTCTTTTTGAGACAGTTTCCCCCTCTCACCCAGGCTAGAGTGCAGCAGTGCAAAACCGACTCACTGCAACCTCTGCCTCCCAGGTTCAAACAATTCTCCTGCCTCAGTCTCTGGGGTAGCTGTAATTACAGACACCTGCCACTACACCCAGCTAATTTTGTTTTAGTAGAGATAGGGTTTCACCACATTGGTCAGGCTGGTCTTGAACTCCTGACTTCAAGTGATCCGCCCGTCTCAGCCTTCCAAAGTACTGGGATTATAGGAGGGAGCCACGACACCCGGTCTACAGAAACGCATTTTTTATATTTGCAAAGGTATAGGCAAAAAAAAAAAAAAAAAAAAAAGAAAAGAAAAGAAAAAGAAAAAAACATTTTTTAAAGGGCTCAAAGTCTCTCAGTAAAATCTACTCCTGATATTAAACTGAATTTAAATTATACCTTATTCTTTAGTAAACCCTTTGGGTTCAAGAAGGGAGTAACAAGCATTTGCTACTTGCAGAGAAAATAAATTTCTTCAATGTCTAAGAATTGCACCCTACCATCAGCCAAACATCTCACAATGTACACATTTAATCACAGGAGATACTATGCTGATATGTGGAAAGCAATTTATTTTTGAAAACCAAATACAGACAGTCGTATTCTACCACTATTTCAGAATTTGCATTATGGCCAGGTGAGGTGTCTCACATCTGTAATCCCAGCACTTTGGGAGACCCAAGATGGATGGAATGTTTGAGCTCGGGAATTCGAGAGCAGCGGAGCAAAACCTTGTCTCTACCAAAATACAAAAATGAGCCAGGCATGGTGGCACACTCCTGTGGACCTAGCCAATGTGGAGGCTGAGGTGGAAGGATTGCTTGAGCCAGGAGGTTGAGGATGCAGTGAGCCAGGATCACACCACTGTACTCCAATGTGGTCAACAGAGCAAGATTCTGTCTCCAAAAAAGGGGATAGGGGCAGGAGGAGGAAGAAGGAAGAAGACACTCTTTCCTCCAATTAAATTTTGAAAAAGTTGCATTATTTAGCAATAGAACCCCTACTGTTTATTAATATTTCTCACCCTCTCTGGGAAAGTTCTAGAATTGATATACTAATATATCAAACAAATAAACTTATCTTAAAGACCCAAAAAGAGGTCTTGTAGTTTCAGCCAGGTACCATGGCTCACACCTGTAAT